AGATATGTGTTATTCGTGTATATATAAGACGTTCACAACGTGACGGGACAACAGAGACAGTGAGTAATTGAACTGAGTATTGTCGAGCATGAGCATGTGAGACGTTCTTTGAGAATTATAGCGTTGTTATAGAGCGACTGTTGAAATTAAATGTATCGGTAAAGTTATATTCAGAAAGAATAAACCAGTTTTATTTAAGAAAGGACTTGTGTCGCTAAAGTTTCGTTGGAACGAATTTACGGAAATTAACGAACGAACGGAGACGTAACAGTATTATTGTAATACTTAAGTGTAGTTTGTAGTGGTGCATTTTGATGAATAATTAATCATGGCAGTATTATGTTGTTTGTTATTGTCTAATTTGCTATATTTGTACATTTTGAGGGTAACGCAACATCACCATCTTTAGCTATAAGGTACAATGCATACTTTATTCCACTATTTATTATGCCATCAAGACGCCTTGTACTCTGTATACCTTATTCCACTGTCAAGATCGCGTGGAACACCGTATATTCTATTTCACTATCAATACCCTTGGTACACTGTATACTCTATTATATTATCAAAATCCCCTGTACAATGTATATTCTATCCTACTATCAAGATCCTTGAAAACTGTGCTCTTTTTCCAACTTTCTAGACTCCTTGAACACGGTATACCTTATTCCATATTAGTATTCTGTGTACACTGCAGAACTCGCTCGTGAAATGACGCCCGAATGCCGTAAAATTGAGTACATCAAGTACATATTATGTGCACTGTATAGTATATTCTCGTATATCAAAAGCCCAGTGTTTTGTATAATGTATAAAGGACCTACTACGTTCTACGTAATAAACCCTTTCAGTCAGAACTGCACTGTATAAAATATATTTAACCAACCAGACACCCAGAATATTCAACCCTCGGTCCACTCATCACATGGTGTTGAATTTAAATTACGTGGAAACATTTAATAGTTTTATTTAAATATCACCCCCACACACACATACACACCCATAAATCGACTAATTGTATGATGATCCTAACTGTCGGGATTTTCAAGTAATTACTGACTCACGGTACCAAACCGTTCGTATTTTCAGCCTAAACTCGTTTACCAATTCGGTAGTTGACAACATAAAAACAAGTTAAAATGTATGTCAATGTTAACAACAGAATTGTCTAATCACTGCAAAAGTTATTTAGATACAAGGTTAATTTTATTTTTCTTTGTACCTTAATCGTCAAAGAATCTGGGAAGTAAAGTATGACTGATGTTTCTCTGAAAATTAGTCAACATTTTAGAACTAGCTATAAGCTAGGCTACAGTCACCAGTGGATGAAAACACGGTCATTATTATTAAGAATATATAATAGGCGTTGTACAAAAAATAACATACTTACGATGATTGTGCAATATTTCAAAAAAATAAAGAAAACCTCTTTAACTTGTCAAGTCAACAAGTCGAAAATGGTTGTTGTTTTTTATTACCAAAATGGTAATTCTTTCTGCAGATTCTGTTCTGCACGCTCAACACTCACAAGGTCAACATGGACAACCTACTCGGTGGTCAGATCGGGTTAGAAGACTTTATTTTCGTACACAGGAAGGGGCAACCAAAGGAAATTGAAGTCAAGAAAACCGAGGATGCTCTAGGGTTAACTATCACCGACAATGGAGCCGGCTACGCCTTTATCAAAAGGGTAAAGGAAGGAAGCGTAATGGATCAACTCAAGTTTGCATGTGTGAGTAGTGAAATACCGAGTGACGTAATGCTTTCGTTTGGCCAGGAGCGCGCCCTCTATCCTTATATATATAAACTATATAACAATTAATTTGTTGATAAAATGACCTTATATACAGGAAATATACATTCCCACGTATCTGTTTTACACCTGAATCCAAGGTTAAGTTGCTGACGAGGCTCCAAATAGTTGTTACATGGAGAAAAAATTATAAATTCTAAACTTAAAAATGAAAAACTTGTTCATGATTTTAAGATAGAAATGCATGAACGATAGGAAAAAGCTTTGAGCAGCTAATGTTAGGAATATTTTCTAATTAAGTATAACATCTTTAAATCTGTTACCGACTAAGAGCTAGGCTTGAGTCATATTCCGTCAATCTTTTATTGTACTTAAATAATCATAAAATAAAAGCTTCATCGTTAGATTTTTATTCTATTTCATTCCTCGTGTGTTAAAACATTTCTTGGTAATAATGTTTGCTCTTTTATTTCTTCACTGTATAAAGTTTTCTTTCTAGCTCCTCCTTGGATAAACTTTTCTTGTTTAGTCTCTCTAATTCCTCATTGAATTAAACCTTTCCTCGTTAGATCTTTATTGTATCTAATTCCTCATCTGTTAAACTTTTATTGGTGTAATTTTTGTTCTCTCTATCTCTTCACTGGATCATCTCCCGATGTATTTAATTTTTCCTGATTAGATGTAATAAATAAATAGTTTGGGTGCTGGGATATTAAGGGTGTGTGTGTGTTTAAGCAGTGTACTAATTAAGGTTATTTTACTTTAACTCTGACCATTACAACTATAACTTATGTAATGTTTCACTAACAACTACTTTATCTAATATTATTATCATTTATCAATAGTTTTTCCTTCTCTAGGTAGGAGACCATATAGAGAAGATTAATGGAAACAGCATGGTTGGCTGTAGACATTTTGAAGTTGCTAAAGCTCTTAAAGAGGTTGAAAAAGGCTCAACTTTCATACTTAGGCTTGTAGAACCCCTTAAAGCTGGTTTTTGTAAGTACAATATTTGTGTTACTATTCTGAGAAACAGTAAAATGTGTCAGAGAATGAAACACGTTTATGTTGAAGTCGTAGTATTGTGTTTAAGTGATTCTGTGGAAAAGAAAAAAAACTCCATATAAATATTTAAGTCAACCGAGTTTTTGTTGCTAGCCCACATTGGACCGAGAACTGGTTCGGGATTTGGAAAGAGGGACGGATACTTCTCTGGTAGAGAAACATTAAGACTTCGCTCAACAGGTCCTGCAACTGTGGAGAGTGCTGTAAGTCTTTAATTTAATATATTTAACAACAAATAATAACGTATTCCAGAAAGTAATTTTCGTAATCAAAAATGTATTATTAAAAAAAATCTATTTGCCAGTCTCTGTAATCATTATCCGTACAAACTGTGAAGTATTAACAATTCCTTTCAATAATATAAACTGACTACACTGTTTGGATGGTAACTTTAGTCTGACTTTCAATACAACAAACTTCTAAATCTAAATAATGTGCATAATTATAACTATTATTACTTCTCTCTGTATTAAGTTCCTTTGGATATATTAAACTTAGATCATCAATATAACAAAAGGTGAAATTGTCTAAGTTTCAGTTCCTTACAAGTTTCATAGAAGTAGAGATACTGGTTAGCCATATTTGTGGAGAAATTACATTGATACTTAGGAATGATTATAAATTGATCAATTAAATGATTAAACACCCTACATAAATCTATGATGTAGTAACAGAATTAGTTGCTTGTAAAAAATTTAATTAGTTAAACGTTTCAAAACTGTAGTTTGTAATAAACCTAAACTTAGGCATTTGATGCAATTTTGGAATTTCATATAAAATGTTAAATTAAAACAAGTAGAATCTATATTTATATTCCATTTTTTAATAGCTTTCTTTAAATTAGTGATAAATGTATTTTTTTGTAAATACTTAAATTGTATCAATTTCATTCATTTGTGCTTTAATTGTTGACATATAAAACCAAAATTACAATTGTAAGAAACACAAGAAAATGAAATATCAATGATTATTCAAATTAGTAACAAATGTTACTATTCTCCATGTTTCTTTATTAGAATGAAATTAATTGATTAATTTATGAAAAACAGTTACAAACTATAAATTTATCTACATATGGAATAGATACTATTTTAAATAAAATTAAAAAACACTTTTATTTCTCCTATTGATAAAGCTTTATCTGTGTATTAAATTTATTAATAAAATAATCTCATGATTTCCACAAAGTGAAGATATTTGGAAAAACTTTCTTGTAAAGTATGACATTTTTCCATAATACACTTATTAATGTGTTTGCTAACAGATAAGGGACTATTATTGGCATTTTATATTTAAACATTTCTCCAACATATATTTGCTTACAAAACAAAATAACATAAAAATTACAATTAAGTCTAGAGTTTATAAAAAATTTTCTCCCCAGTAGTTCATGTAATATAACTATTCCCACAAATATAACAATTGGGTTTATTACAGGGGAAAATACCCTCATTACATTTCTTTGGTTTATTTCTCTGATTTGAGATAGCATATAATCTTTTGTGTAGTTTCGTGATAATATTTATTTTCGAACATAGCTTTTAACACTTTATCTGCTATTCTTTTTAGATATCATTAATATGAATTTTAAATCCAGGGTAACGTGTTATTATGAAAGGAATAATCAGTTCTTTTATGATTGTTGTTAATTTTAGCTAAGTTAAAACATTTTCTGGATAATGGCACTGCCTAAAGTAAGATTTAAAGTTATCAGTTTTGTTGTTGAACTTCCAGGTTAGAAACAATAGAGGAAAGTGGAATATTTAATTTACTATTAACCGGATGATTACTATAAAAATCTAAGTACTAGGTTTGTAATACAAATCCTATAATTGTTGTTTTATGATACACACACACACAAAATAACAGATAAACTCAACTTACTCATTTTAAAAGGGAACTTTTATATATATATATTAGAGTTAATTTAATTCAAATTTTCAAAGGATTTATTCCATAACAGAATACAACCATATCAAAACCTTTACGGTTTTCCTCCAAATAATTTAATAAACTATTGAACATATGAATTTCCAAATATCCCATTACTACATCTGATGATATTAAAATTATATTTTTTACAACTTTCTCTAGTAAGTGATTTTAGGATTATGTCCATACTGGAGTTCAATGGTTCTATCACCTTGTTTTTTTCCCACCTATAATTGGTCTTCCAGAGATTTTTGGAAGACTTTTTCAAAATATTTAACTTATTTACTTTTATGAATTCTGAATATTCGTAGTTTTCGTTCTTTCTTAATATAGACATATTTTTATATATTCTTTAGTTTCTACTTTTGGAGGACATATTTCTAATAAGTTTCTTTATTATTTAAATGTTTTAAAACTATATACTCTTGATCCATGATAACGAACTTTATTTTTTATCACTTCTTATATTAAAACCTCTTCCATATTCAAGTGTTTTAATGTATTTCTTTAACTGGAAGAATTTTGTAATACATTTTCTATATCGTTACATACTGTATAAAGTTCTAGATTCTTTCTGATAAAACAGGAAGCATTTATTAAACGTTTCGGAATCGTAATACTTCCATCATCAGTAATCTAGGGTTACAAAACAAACAAACAAATATAACATGAGAAAACTAAAACTGAGGCACAAGTGAAATAGTTAAAATAGGTTAAAATCCAGTAAAACCTTGTATTTAGAGATTGGAGAAGAGTTTTTAAGTATAATGTTTCTTTCCTTTTTGAAGGTGCAAAATTACTTTTTGTTTTAGGGATTTATCATCATCAATATTATTCTTAAAAACTTCTGTTAATCTTACTTTTTGAATAAATTTGTGTATATCTTCTTTGATTTTAAGTTCAATGTCCTCTTTTGACAAAGAATTCAAAATTCAACACTTTCAAGGCCTCTATAAATAACTCATTACCCTGGAGTCAAAAATAATTGGAAAGAATTTCAGATACAATTTTAAAAGCTAAGTTTGAAAATAAACAACACAAAAGTTTATATGCTATCTTAAATTGAAAAAGAAAGCAAAGAAATCTAATAACCAGGGATCCAGTGGTTAATCTTGGCTGTCACATCCTCTAAACTAAACTAAGTTTTAAAAAAATGTTAAAGCCATCCCTTATCATTCATATAATTAAACTCACTTAAATTTACTGCCTCTACAACATCTGAGGGCAACCCATTCCAAAGGCCAACCACCCTGTTAGAAAAATAAAACTGTCTTAACTGAAGATCACTCCTACCCTACCAAAATTTATGCTTGTGATCCCTAGTCCTACTGTCTTCACCATTAAATATGAAAAAAGACAATGTATTAACACTATCAATTCACTTAACAATCTCATACACCTCAATCAGATCCCCATTTACTCTTCTTTTTTAACCTCTCATCGTATGACTACCCCTTCATCCCAGGCACTATTTTAGTAACCCTCCTCTGAACCCTTTACAACAATTCAATGTCCTTCCTAAGGTAAGGAGCCAAAGACAAAACACAATACTCCAAATGTGGCCTAACCAGTGACCTATACAATGAAAATTATAACCTCTTTAGACTGGTATTCAATATTTCTGTAGATAAAACCTAAAATCTTGTTTGTCCTTCCACTGCATCAAGACCCCTTTCTTTAACACTGTTAACAACCCTCTGCTTTCTTCAATCCAGCCACTCTTCTATCCAGTTTGCTAATTTATCCCCCACACCCATAGAACTAATTTTTTTTACAAGCCTTTTTTGCGGCACCTTGTTAAATGCCTTCTGAAAATCCCGATACACCAAATCTACAACTTTACCATCATCTATATAAGCAGTAACCTTTTTAAAGAATGTCAAAAGATTTGCAAGGCAAGATTTTCCTTTAGTGAAACCATGTTGACTATCCAGTAAAATTCTAAACTTTATTAAATGACTTTGCAAAGCATTTTTTTAACAGACTTTCCAAAACTTTTCCCACAACTGACGTAAGACCAATAGGGCTATAATTACTGGGACAATTTTTATCACCTCCTTTGAAAAGAGGAGTTACATTAGCTAATTTCTAATCCTTTCGTACCTGCCCACTATTCAAGAACTTACAAAAATAGCAGCAAGTGCCTCACATATCCAAATATTAGGGGAAATATTATCTGGCCAAGGAGCCTTATAATTTTTTTAAACTTCCCAATTTTTTCTTCAGAAGTTCAATATTAATGTCATCATATTGTCTAACCTTGTTTCCTTCTATCAAATGAGGAACACTACTTAAATCTTTATTAGGTATTTTTCCCTGCAATAAACCAAATTGTTATATTTGTGGGAAAGGTTACATTATATATATATATATACACACACACACACACACACACACACACACACACACAC